GGGGTTCATCTGAGACATGTAGCAGCAGAGCCAACTGCAAATACAGAGAAAGTGGTTTTAAGAGTGCACCAAACGTTGTGTACTTTGGCAACACGGATGGATGAATAGATGGATGTACCAAGACTGAAAGGCATGTAGAACAAATATGGTGGGGAAAGCGCCTGCCATAGCGTACGACCGTGATGGCACCCAATGACAGTTGAACCTTGATTGAACGAAGTCACTGTGACCCGCTAATTATTTCGTTAAATTGGGAACTTCGTAAAATCGAGAAAGGGAGACCTCGTGCATAGGCTGCGTGGGGAATCCGAATTTGTTCGTCAAATCGGGGAATTCGTAAAATCAAGTTTCGTTAAATCGAGGTTCAATTGTAGTGGCTGTGCTGTACCCTCGTATTGTGTGGTACCTTATGCCACCAAGATGGTGCCTGCTGTAATGAGGTTGATTTAATTATATAAGTTGTGTAACCAATGAACTAAACAAGAAAAAGCCATGTTACGAGACACCTGCACGCTTCTTTAGCAAGCCTGCACCCCCTCCTTAAAGGGACGGTGTAACGAGTTCCGAACTTCGGTCAAACATTTGTGAAAGTTACCCTCCGACACTTCTGAAGTAAAGAACACAAAACCGATTTTGCCTGTGCGTCCTAGTGGTTCCGTAAAAAAAGAAAGATAAATATTGGCATTTCTGGCGCCCCTCAACTCACTCCCAGGCTTCAGGGTCACACCAGGTCCCCCTCCTAGTGAAGTAATTCAGGGTGCCGTGTAGCTTCCCGTGTGCTCTCTCGGAGGACGCTTCCTCTCCCTCTCTCTGCTGACATTAGCGGGCATTATGCTGGTTCTTAGAGCCGAGCGAGGTCACGTAAGCTTCTCGCCGTAGTTCCTTCGGCTGCCACTTGCGGCTGCAGGTGGGGGAAAAAGCTAGACTTTTGCTTCGTGATTATGGAGCGTAATCGCGACATTTTGTAATGAAGGAGATGTTTTCTCTATCCTCCGGGTCACGATAAACAACGTAAAAATGACGAGATGCAAACTCTTTTAATCTTAAAATCGTTGCACCCCCCCTTTAAAGCAGCTGTGCAACGATTTTAACGTTAAAAAAATTTGCATCTTCTACTTTTGACATTGTTTATCTTGTCGCAAAGTACACAAAACATAATTCCTTCCTTCAAAATGTTGCGATTCCGCCGCGTAATCGCGAGGCGAAAATTAGAATATTTCCCGAACTGCAGCCGCAAGTGGCGGCCACGAGAACCGCGCGGCATGATGTCAATGGGGGACTTGTAGAAAGATACAAAGTTGTGCAAATACCTCCTCGATAAAAGGTAATTTTTCTATAAATCTTGTCGTTCCAACATAAATATAAAAGCGTCGAAAACCTGGTATCATTGAAGAAAACTTTTATATATGGAGTTTTAGTGGCACTATCTATCCAACTCAACAAAACCGTCAGCCCTATCTGCTACCGCGAATAGCCGCCAGAAGCCGGAGGGCGGGGGCAGAGGGCCTTAGGGGCAGAGCCGGACGTGGATGGCCGGACCCGGACGAGATTTTACTCGTCTTGCCTAGTTGATCGCGCTGCCTAAGCACGTGGTCACGTGGTCGCGAGCAGGTGATTTCTCGCTGCTCACTGATGGCTCTAGAGAAAGCTTCATCGGAACCCCGCGCATCCCCCATTCACGTCACAGTGCACGTAACTCGGAAGAGGGTAAAGGAGTTGAGAGCTGCCGAAAACCTCAATCTTTGTCAAATTTTAAAATAAATACTAGGAAATGCAGGCAACAGTGATTTTTTCTCCTTCACTTCAGAAAGGTCGAGACACCAACTCCTAAATTATTTAAGCCAAGCACTGAAATTGTTGCACAAATCCTTTAAGGCTTGTTCACACCCTTGCGACCTCTTAGAACAGAGAGCCTTAGAACCTCTTAGTATCTCTAACGACGAGAGGATGCACCAACGCCATCCATTGGGTACAATGTAAACTTGGCGGTCCGGCCTTTTTTTTTTTTTTCTTTTGCGCATTATCCTATTTTTTTGGCTCGAAAAACTTTTGTCAACGTTATAAACGAGCCTTTCTCATAGGTATTACGCACATTGGACCTCGCAAATCCCGCAAAACCTTCACTCTTGTGAAATGCAGTTCCAGGGACACCTCATAGATGGCACGAGCGTGCCAGTGTGTTCTCTCGTCCTAAGAAATTTTAAGAGGTTTCAACAGGTCTCGTCTCTCTCGGTCGTACTCAGTTGCAAGTGTGTGAACAAACCTTTACTGGAGTAAAAGAGAAAAAAATGTCAAGGTCTCAATGAAGGATCTTCTTTCAGTTTCCCTACTTCTTCCTTTGGTTTTGTCTATCGTGTCTAAGTGCTACATGTTATTTAAAATATACTAAGCTTTGTGGCTTAAAAGTTCAGAGCTACCAAGCTGAGACTCCTAGAAGTGTCTGCCAGTGCCTCACTCAGCATCCATGCTGTAAGACTGCACTTCCTGGTCATTCATTTGGTAGCTGAGTTTGACCTGGTAGCTGAGTTTGTGACGTTACCCAGTCCTTTTCTGTTCCTTTGACTTATATGTTCTTTTCTGCCCGAGTCTCAGGTTTATTCAACATGGTTAACATTCACCAGCTCACCTGCACCCTTACTATATTATCACTAGCTCAAGTGTGAAACATTAGCATAAGGGTAAGAAAGCATGCTGTTTGAAGTTGAAAATAAAAAGACGTATGAAGTTGTGCCACACCAAAAGCAATTCAAACATGTCATTTCAAGCTGTACAGTCGGGGACAAAAGTCCCCAGGACGTGCGAACTGCAGCTGAAACACATTGCTCTGCCATCGGCCGGCGGGTCGCCTGGTTTCAAGATCACACAAAAGTGCATGCGCGTCCTACTCTGCCTGCAAACATGTGTGTTTTCCCACTCTTCTGCGGCACAGCACCTAACTAGGAATCGGGCACGTGGTACCGCCTCAGAGAGAGTGCTGGCGGCTGACGAGCGTCTGCTACATATTCCAAAACTCAAGATACCGCCTAGGGCATTGCGCCGCACTTCACCGTGTCAGCGCACCTTTCTTTATAACCAGTTCAGCTTATCGCTCAGTTGAGCTGCCGTGACTTTTTCCTTTATAGGTGCCATGTCAGTAAGCGCTATCTCCGATGTGGTACCACGCGCCCGATTCCGAGTTAGGCGCCGTGCCACGCCGCAAAAAAGAGGGAAAGTGTACATGTTGGCAGGCACAGTAGGACGCGCATGCGCTTTTCTGTGATCTCGAAACCAGGCGACCCGCCGGCAGATGGAAGAGCAATGCATTTCAGTCACAGCTCGCGTGTCCTGGAGACTTTTGTCCCCGACTGTACATTGCAAAAACTTAGACTTGAAACTTAGAAATGGGGGCAGAGAGGGAGCAGAGCATTTGTATTCTTTATTTAACTCTGTAGAGTAACGAAGTTAACTCAGTTGAGGTAGTTTAGGAATAGCGAGTGCTGACATTGGTGATCCCGAAAGGAAATGTCAGAGAATAAAAGAATGTCGGCGAAAGGAAGCAGACACAAGGTGAGGTGTGTTCGTTTTGCGGCGACTGGTTGAAACTGTTTCGTTGTTCATCAACTTTAGGTTTCACTTCATATCATTCTTCCTGCCGGTGTTTCTTGCAAACTAAACAGTAAGCTATCACCATGCAAGGAATAGCTTACTATTTTTCTGTTTAAGGTCTTATCAGCAATCTTGAAACCCCAGGACCAGCGATGGCAGCATTTATGCTCTTCGGCTTTGGGGCAGCCGAAATGCGTGGGAAGATGGTGGACCATTTCCTCTAGATTTATTATACAAACTTCAAAGATGTAACACGCAGTACCTGTCAATAATCTCGTAAGGCTAATTTGCTAATCATAGCTAGCTAACAATGCAATATATAGTGGACACCGGCTGAAGGGATCGAGCTGTTAACAGGTAACATGAATTAGTAAAACTGTCACCAAAGTAATACACAAGAAATCTTTACTCACAAAGTATAACAGAGTACTGCCGTGATGCCAATCATGGTCTGGATCATCCTATGGAAAGGGAAAAAAAAGACACCTTCAATTTTCTGGTCTCGCAACATTGAAAGATCGAGCAAAGAAATTAATTTACTTTACCGCAAATAACACATGCTACCCAATCAGATCCTTGGTGCAAGCTTCAGCATTCTTGCACTGGGCACAACACGAGCGATTGTGCAAAGATTCCGATGAGCCCTTGCGAAGCGGCAGCTGCAGTAGCGGACCACGCTTTGAGTGTGACCGTCAGGCACGCGCGCTCAATGCAGCGCAAGCATCATTCAAGCCAACATGCTCGCGCTTCTGCAGGTTGTTGCGGCTGACCGAGCGCGAGGCTTCTGACAGGCCGTCGCGTGCAAGCGGCTCGTCAATTAGCACAGGACGGTGTACCGTCCTCGTGCTATCGCGCTGCCTGTTTAGATGTTGGAGGAGAGACAATAGAAAAGTAACAAGCAGGGACTTTGACAGGGAACGTACCCTCTGTTGTCTCCTTTTGGCACGAACCACGGCACCCCGGCCCCGACTCCGAGCCAGAAAAGCGTGAATAATGACACCGGTAGAGCCGAAGCAACCATCTCGAAGGCCTTAACTTGTGGCTGTTAACGTTCAGGTTAAATGTTCCGAAAAGGAAAGGAAAAACGCCTCTGTCGTCGCAAACCTTCTTCAGAGTTGACGAGCAGGCACGATTCAAGTGGACAGAAGATGCTGCCGCACTTGCGTTCGCTTACACCATCGTTGAACTTTTGCGATTGTAAAAACGTCATGACAATGTCACGTGACTAACTCTTAGTAGCTTTTTAGAACTACACCAATACTACTGTTTTTTTATTGCTTTTAAAATTAAAATATTTCATTTTATTAGTCATAATGCAATGCAAATTGAGTGTTCTATTGAATTATTTTACAAAATAAGGTGTTAATCGGAAGCGTCGGAAGGATGGTAAGTAGGATAGCTTTGAAGCCAATTCAATCCGAACCGAAGAGAGCCTCGGTCAGCTGATTTCTGTAGGCTTTCGTTCATATCGCGGCCTACTGTAGTATTTACCGCCTACCAATCTTCAAACATAAATGGTGCTGGCTTTCTTGATTCTCTCCTTTTCGGAGAAGGCATCGGGCGTTATCCACTCAACCGCCTACAGCCTGAACCGAGCGAGAACGTCCCACAGTGACGAGTCGAACACGGTCCGCAATGAGCCCGACGAACTTGAAGAAGACTTCCAACGCGGCCCGAGCGAAATGAATGAAGAACACAAAGCCCAGAGCGACCTGTTCAAGCGAGTGCACCAGCACGTCGTCGAAGACATGAAATCGGCCTTGCACCACACCTCGATCGCCGGCGCCGAGGCCTCCCTGCACCCTATCGAAAAGAAAGGCGCGTTCTTTCTGAACGACGCCGACTCTCCAGAAAGCATAGTAGTGTGGCATTCGTTCGGAGACTGCTGCTTCGTGCTGATGTGCGACAGCGACGAAAACGTCTCCCTGGGCGGCCAGATATTGAGACAGATAATCCACAGTATCTCGTGCCACGTCGTGTTCGTGACGCCGTCCGAGCTGCTCGCGAAGGCTGGACTGGTGCACGCGATCGTCAAGCTCTATCTGCCTGCGGGGAAGCTTCTGTTTGTGAATCAGAACGTTGTGAAGCAGTATGAACAGTTGCTGCAGAGAGTGGCCGCGTGAAGGGGAGTTTTTAAGCATCCGGTTTTATTTGCCGAGTGACCACTTTAGCTAGGGGAACGTGACAACTCTGATTATTCAGGTGCTTTTATTTTATTTTTTATTGTTTATTGACACCCGACTTTTAAGCGAAAGCGCTGCTACTAAGACACGGACCAAATACGTTGCCACATGCTCATTTGTAATCGATATCATGCCGAGAAAATCGGAAGTCTTTCTGGACTTATGTTAGCTTGATATTCTCTAAACTATGTGTCTTTCTAGTGTAAATTATGTCAAATCAACCAGTGTGTCTATGACAAGCGCAGCTGCAGCCTGCAGCCCTACGTATGTTAGAGACTAGGCAATCACCTTTAGCTGAAACGAAATGATTACCTAAAACCGTGTCAGCTGTGCAACAACAATGTCCAGAATGCACTAAATTTGTGATGAGGTGTCCTGCTGAGTGGAATAAACTTTCTCTGTGCACAACACGAGCTGCAGATCTGATAAGTTCATGTCACGTGGGTGCTGGGTGCGACTCGCTGATATGTCACTTGTACCAAAGGGGTTCCAACAAAATGATGCAAGAGCGGTATGCAACAGTAGAGACACTATCATACATTCAATAATTGAGTATGTTTATAGCGTACTAAAGTGGTAGCCTCAGCCAACAATGAATAGCTGTTTCATTTCTAAAAAATCTTAGTATAAACAAAAATAAGTTATTTAATCTAAATTCTCATATTTGTGACTGCACACTGCTCAGTCGTAGATGCTCCAAGTGCTCTCACATGCTGTCTTTCCCATTTGTGTATCTGTAGTGCACTGTCTTCCATGCCCACAGCACTGAAAGGAAGATGCACAAGAGACACTAACAACCAACAGTGTTGCAGTAACTGTTCAGTGACCAAACTAAAATGAGACATACCATTCTCAGCTTCTACGAATCTGAGATAAAAGTTTCACTAGTTGAGACTTCAAGTGAGTTAACATTAGCCTAATTATGATGACTGTGGCAAAATCTTAATATGTAACGTCTGGGCTATGGTAGTCTTTTACTCCTATTATGCTTCTGTCAAAGGTGACTGCAAGGTGCTGCAAGGCTAGACTGTGCACAACGTTGCCACGGTAGCATAGCTGAAGCCATTAGTTCTCAGATTCTATAAATTAGAATTGGAACAAAGTATGTGCACGTCGGCTCTAGCTCATATGGGAAATGAAAAGAATATGCCCTTCGTAACCGATAAAAAGGTTTTATTAAGGTTATAGAAAACGTTTCATCAAAAAGGTGATCGAAATTGCTCTCCCCTCATGCACCACAACATACAGGGCCTCACCCCACTTTGGGCTTCTTCACTGCACCGCACTCATCATCTGATTTTGCCACGCACTCCTTGTCATCCTGTTCCAAAAGATCCATCCAGGATTCGCCGTCTTCCAGACCGAACCATTCGTCCAGGGTTTTCTGCTTGGAGTCTGCACATGTCTTGAGATCCACATCGTAAAAGTTATCCTTGCTTAGCCCTGCCTTGCTCAACGTATCGAGCTTATTCCGCACCAACGGCCAGATGTAATCGTCGGCCGTTCCTTTTGCCACGAGGTACTGCACCATCACACAGTTCTGCTGCCCTATCCTATGCACCCTGTCCTCCGCTTGCGTCAGAATCCCGGGATTCCAGAATAGCTCCGCAAACACAACGAGGCTGGCTGAACTCAGCGTGATGCCGGCGTTGGCCGCCGTGATGCTGAGGACGGCGACTTTGCACATGTCGTTGTACTGGAACTTGTCACAGAGCATCTTGCGGAGTTCCGGAGACGTCTTGCCGTCGATGCGGATGTGGCTACACGACTTTTTGTCCAGGAGCTCGCACACTGCATCGATGACCACCTGATGGTGCGCGAAGCACAAAAACTTCTGGTCGCTTTCGAGCAGGTCTTCGAGGTATTTGCAGATGGCCTTGCACTTGTGGAGTCCGGTCTCACGGAAGTATGTGAGAAGAACTCCCCTCCGCTGCATCCCTTGGATGCTCTCATTCTGCATTTCCTTTGCCATGTGTTGGAGGACCTTGTCAGTGGTCTTGATGGTCAATGGATCCAGGACAACCACTTGTCTCTGCTTGGCGGGCAGCTGGGATAGAACGTCTGATTTGAGTCTGCGGATCATGACGCTCTTTTCCAAGAGCAGCTGGAGTTCTTGCATGTTCGACGAGCCTGAGTAGTCCCACCCCCACTGGGTCACCTTGCCGTTGCAGTACCGGATCCCATACTCCTGGATGCTAGGAAAGCACTTGGGCCGCACGGCACAAATCTGGGTGTACAGCTCAATGGGTCTCGAGAGGGCAGGCGTCCCGGTAAGTAGCAGGACACGTTTGGCCTTTGCAATGACCTTCTGGCAAGCCTTGGTGCGAGCTGCCTTGTGGCTCTTGATGAAGTGGCTCTCGTCCAGAATGACAACCTGGAACTTGCCACGGATATCGTCCACCTTCCGTGACAGCAGGTCATAACTCGTGATGACGACCTGATGGTCCTTGTCGACCTTGTCGGAACCCGTCACCAATACCGTCACTTGGTCGTCCCTGAGGGACGGCATCCAATGCAAGAAGGCTTCCTTCCACGTGAACCTGACGGAAGATGGGGCCACCACGAGCACAGGCCATTCTTCCCTGAAGTAGCAAGCCACGGCTATGCTCTGGATTGTCTTGCCGAGCCCCATGTCATCTGCAATCAGGAGTCGTCCGTTGCGTCTGATCGCTGTGCACACCCCTTCTTTTTGAAATGGGAGCAAGGCTTGTTCGAGCTTGCAGTCGATTCCACTCAGGCTGACTTCATATTCCTCCGTCGGTGCTGCCTCAAATACCTTCAAGACGTGGGATGGAATCTCTGCCACAAGCACGTTAGGACGCAGAGGCTTCAGTTTCTGCACCAGCTCGTTGTGGCTACTCAAAGCAAAGCTCCACCTTTTCTGAACGGCGTCATAGTTGCGCGAAGAAATGGTCTTAAATATTTCGATCATCTGTTGGTGATACGGTACGTCCACCACAAATCTGCTTGGGGAGACAATGATGCACGAACCGTTGACGATCTTTGCCGGCAATGAGCTGGTGGCACCGGCTTTGAAGGTGCCGTCTTGTTGGCATGGCCATGCTCGGCTCTGACCCGATAACCGAGGCGAGTTTTGAGTGCCCCACTGAGGCTGGTTTTGTCCTTGATGGTAAAAGGTGGACGTTTTGCTTGTTTGACCGTTATATGTGGTTGCAGTCTGAGATGGAGCATGAACGTAATTTTTAGACGGAGCGGCGGTTGCTGCTTGTGATGCGCTCGCCTTTAGTCGTTCCGCCCGCTTTTCAAGAGCCTTGCGACGGTTCTCTTCGATCAATTTCTTCTGTGCCTCTGTCAGCGTGTCATTGGCGTTCATATCTGTGCTTATTAAACGCAGTACGCATTTCAGACGAAAGAGGAGAGGAGACAATAAGTATCATGTCATATCATGACTCCTGAAATCTGAAACCTCAAATTACCGTCTTCAAAGAACATTTTGAAAGTTTACCGTTCCGTGGAATCAACAAGCTTGCGTGAAATCCGTGAAATAATAGATGGATGGACGAACACAATCTGACTTCACCTTTAGGCTTAAAGGCGGACACCTGCGCCATCTAGCTAGTAAAACGTTGGCTTATTTCGTGATTTTGCACTACCGTGCGGCCCCTCAATCAGTTTGCTTTTGTTTTGATAAAATTCACGCCAGGCGTGAATTTTATCACGGGTTTTATATCTTCCAGAATTGAAGCGATCCTAATGGCTAGCATCTTGGGTACTGGTTGGCCACAAAGTTTCGGTTTCGATTTGCCATCACTTCACGGCCTGCTGTAACGACAAACACGGCGCTTACATTTTCGAATATGCAACTTTCCTTACATTTATAATGCTATACATGTTGCCTACTCATAAATATGGAATGCTGAGGAACGTTTTTACGGGCTCCCGATGTGAATGAGCTTGAGCAAAGGTAAACAGAGGACGACGATGGCACAAGAGGTATACTGAGCCGGTCACACTGTAGCATCCTATTCATTGTCCTCGAGTTTATATTTATATATATATATATATATATATATATATATATATATATATATATATATATATATATATATATATATATATATATATATATATATATATATATATATATATATATATATATATATATATATATATATATATATATATATATATATATATATATAAACGAATATGTGCAGATGAATGAACCGTACTTAATCCAATGAATTAAAGAATCCAAGTTTTCAGGAACCCGCCGAAAGCCAAAAATTGGCGGAGCCAATTTTTGGCTTTCGGCGGGTTCCTGAAAACTTGGATTCTTTAATTCATTGGATTAAGTACGGTTCATTCATCTGCACATATTCGTTTATATCCCCCTCGGAGACCACGTACGATGACGTGAAGTGCCCGTGTTGTATATATATATATATATATATATATATATATATATATATATATATATATATATATATACCCGTGAGCCGGGAGGGTCATGCTGCACTCTGGAGTGGCAGCCAGGCCACCAGAAATGTAAGAGACATCAATTGAAAATCCAGAGACAATGTCACATCCCTTTTCCTGTTGAAAGTCGATCATACGTTGTGAATTTGGTGTCCTTTTTGTTCGCTTAACTCTGTTGGGACAATACCCTTGTATTTTTCGCGGCCAAAACACACAAAGGCGATATTCAATTCCGCACCATTGTCCCAGAGAGAAATGGCAAGCCCATGAGCCAACCATTCTGACAAGAATATCCTGTCCGAAGTAAAGGTAAACGACTTCTTCAGAATACCAAATTTCCAACCAGTGATCGACTTACTGCAGGAAAAAGGTAGGGAACACAAAAGAACATACTACTATTCCTCGCCAAGCATACCCTACAGCCACTGGGGGTTCGTGTTTCACAACGGGGGCACTCACGAAGATGAACGGGTGCAATGCAAGCTAGCGCTGACTTTATTTTCATGCAGTGCTCAAATGTACTACTTCGTCAACGGAGCGGTTGAAACCGAAACCATGGCTATGCGGAGCGCAAGTTCGTCTGCTTCGTTTGCAGGGGCTGTGGCGGCGTTAGAGTTCCTATACAGGAACTCTAGGCGACGTCACAACGCCGAGCTCTGACTGGCTCTGTTTGAAGCATAGTGGGTAGACATCAAGGCAGCTTGCTTTGAGGTCCACCCACTATCGTTCAATCAGAGCAAATCAGAGCTCGGTATTCTGACATGACCCAAACCCCTGCAAAAGAGCAAACGAACCTGCGCTCCGCACGCATCGCAGAAAAAAAAAAAAATAATAATAGTATAATAAATAAATCAGATGGTCACATTAGAGTCCGAGTATCGCGTTTCTTTTTCTTCTCTTGCGCCGCCAACTCCGCATTGGCGGAGAAGCGGTCACGTGTGCCGAACTGGATCCAACTTTCACGAAGGAAAAGGAGCTTGCAGGCGCCAAGTTTCGGCGGAGAATGTTTCTCGCTTTGCCTTTACGAAAATCACGCCCCACACTAAAATCGAACGAACTTGAAGGTTCCTTGACCGTTGAACATTATGTGTAGCCACAGAGAACAGTATAATCACATTGTTTTATAACGCGAGCGATGTTTTAAAACATGTTTCCAAAGTCTGGGAAGCAGACGACACGGAGGACAATCGCGTTGCTCGAGTCTGCGGCACTTGCGGAGTGATACGCGACGGTCATCCGGGCACTTCGGACCAGACAACAACGCGTAGCTACAGCTTTCGAAAAAACGACGTTTTCGTCAGTTACTATGTTCTACCGATGGCATAGAGAAAAAGAGAACACAAATGACGAGACGACGGCGCACGAGCGGCGTGTTACCGCACTATAACTTCTCTGCTCCGCTCGCCTCAGCACGCCGCCTCACAGCTCTAGGTGGTGTTGCTCACAGACCAGAGGGCTCTGTCACAGACACGCCGTCCGCGCCTCCTATCTCCTGAAGAAGCGACGGTCGCTTCCCGCCAAGGAGGTTAGAAGTACTAGGAGGGGGCACGTTGCAATATTGGTGAAGCCTAGTCATAAAAAGTTTAAACGATTTTGTGCCCAGCGTGACCGCAGATCTCTCTGGCGATTGGTGCGCGTGACATGTCACGTGTGAGGTGGATGGTTGATTGTAGAAGGACTCCTTGCAGGCTTGCGCGCGCTCCGTCCGGTAGGTTTTATCGGGTCGAAGTCTAGACTCTGGTGTATTCTAGTACCCCACAGCAAGACGAAGGCTAGCTACGGTCACGTGATGTGGTCACGTTGGCATGGTAAGTGAGGAGAGTAAGGAGGAAAATGAGAAAGAGGCGAGGCGTCAAGAGAGCATGGCTTGTGAAGGCTACGCGGCCGACGTCATGCCCTCTCCTACCCTTCTATTCTCCATGCTTCCCGCAGTGCAGCCTTGGATCCAACATGGCCGCCCTCGGGTTACTATTGCGATACTCTGCTCCGCAAGCGGAGCATATGCAGTTATTCTAGGTCACACATGGCGTGCGCGATAAGCGAGTTGTATGCTTCTCGAAAACTCTCGCTCTGAACGCCGCTAATTGGCTCAGCCGCTCCACGACTATAGTCGGATGCAACCTGAGAACAATCTTTTAGCTCCACCCACAAGCGCATTGCGCCCATCTGAAGTGCCTCCGCCGTCGAGAAAGTAGTTCGCTAGCAACGTTGCTTTTTCTTCCTCCAGGAAACGTGTCTTAAACTACTACAATATTTATTTAATTCATTCAGTACATTTAAATAAGTTAGAATACGTTTTTGTCAACGAAATAGCTGTTTAGTAAAGAAAGAAAGTCATGTCCAATGTACCGTCTTCCCAATTCATTTTCTGTCCAAGATACTGTCTAACATACCGTCTAACATACCTCTCAGCAGTGCTAAGCCTCGCGCCCGCTTCGAAATTTTCGTTGGCGATAGCGTCGCTGGATTCTCACGTTGTCGCGCAAAAACTGCTGCAAACGCAAGCCGATACCATTAAGATTTCGCGGCGTAACCTCGGGCACGTAAAACACGGTGCAAAAAAGCAGAATAATTGTCACGAGAAACTAGCGTCGCGTTGCTAAGGCCAGCAGCCATGTTGAGCTTTTTTTTTTTTTTTTTTTTTTCAAAAGGATCGCGATTGGTCCACGGAATCGTGACGTCATGAAAACGATTGGCTGGCGTTTCTCGGCGTAGGATTACATTTTCATCTGAGAGGCATTTCCGGTTTTTTCTTAGCTTGCAACCGACTATAGATCCCATCGCACGAAGTCGGGTCAGCTAGCGACTGCTCGAAATGAATGAATGAATAAAGACTTTATTTGTCCCAAAGGAAGGTGGATTCCGAAGTTTGTTAGTCCGGGCTCCCCTTCGTGCCTGTGTTGCTCAGTTGGTGTTGGGAAGTGGTCCCCCAGGGTCCTCCTGGAGGATTCAGGTTCTGGGGGGCTAAGCTCGCCTCCGGCGGGTTAGTTGTAAGCGCTTTATTGACCATAGCACAGGGTAAAGGGAATAGGGGAGTGCGTCAAGTAGCTCTTGGCTTGGACGCTGGCACATTGGACGAGAAGGGAAGGGAAGAGGTTGTGGGGAAGGGGATACTTAAAAAAAAAAAAAAAATTAGCAGTAGACGTCGATGCCCGCCTCGAAGATGAACTTAAGCAGCGAGTTTAGTGTCTTTTTTCTTGATTTGTCACAGGGACCTGGTGGGTGAGTCCACCCCTCTAGTGCGATAATTTCCGTCGGTTTGTGTTTGCGTCTGCATGCCTCTAGTGCGGGACAGTCCCAGATGAGGTGTGTTTGGTCGGCCTTCTTCGTTTTGTCGTTGCAGAAATTGCACCGGCCTTGATTTGAAGAGGATGGTGATCGCGACCATGACGCTATTCGCGCTGGCGTACATGTTGTGTTGGTTTGTATTCTGGTTAGGATAATTTTTTCTCTTCGGCCGAAACCTCGAGGAATTGTTCCCGGTGCGTCTGGGAGGAGCTCTCTGAGTTTCTCCCTACACTCGAGCTTGACAAGTTGCCGCTCTTCTTCCGGATCATAATTAGTCTCCATTTCTCTGGCACGATCTGACTCTATCAGAGGCCGTGCGTAGTCATGGTTTGCTAAGTGTGGAATCTCACGTCTGGACTCGCGGAGGAGAGACAGAAGAGACGCGCGAGCCAGTGCGTGAGCATTCTCGTTGCCCTCGATTCCCATGTGTGCAGGAACCCAAGATATCTTTGCATTGGTGCCCAGCTGACGAAGTTCACCGATCAATTGCTTGATCAGCTTTACCTTTCTGCTGGCGCTGGATCTTTTGCCGCATTCCGAAATAGCTTCGGCTGAATCCGCGAAGATGCGGATGTCTTGCGGCGTTGCTGCTTCTGATTTCCGTAGGTCCCTGACAGTTTCGAGTGCTAGGGAAATTGCGGAGAGCTCCCCACCCTTGACAGTTGTCCCTTTAGGAAGGAGTTTGGATTGCGTCTTGCAGAGTCTGGGTATGACTACTGCAGCACATATCACATTAGCACCGGCATCATGCGCCGCGTCCGTGTATATTGCCAGGATCTTCGAGGGGTCTTCCCAGCATTGGACCATCTTA